AGCATTTAAGTGGCCTGGTGTAAACTGTCCTGTTGTTGATACGCCTGGTCTTATTTCTCCCTTTCCTTTTTGTTGTTAATAGTGGTAGGATATGATCTCCTCCCGTGGTACGATACGCTTCTCGTAATCGGGGATGTGGTAGAGGATTGGGTCGTAGCTCTTTTTAAAAGCTTCAACCGTTATAAACCAGCCACAGAATTAGTAAGCATCCCTCTTCATAAACATAATGGTTACACATGCATGTTTGCAAGGGATACGGGCTACATCCCACGCGCGGCACGTGCATGTTTTATTGTCAAGATCCACTTTACAAGTTTTATGAGATTGTACCTCAAATAATCCTATATGAGACTGATGCACATCCAATGGACGCCCATTTTCCATGTTCTCTTTGAGGACAAGTTCAGCTTTGGGACAAAGAAATCCATTCCAACTTTCAGCCATTAATCGTCGCTCATTCATGCGAACCATAATCTGTTTATGTATGTGTTCTACGAGTTGTAGTATCCGTAGAAGCCTAGCCTCATGTATCCATTTGTTGAATGACTCTGCAATATTTGATGTAATATGACCATATCTGGAACATAACAGGGAATTCATCAAAAATACTGAGTTATTTGTCATGTCAGTTCTAGCTGAGTAGTTCTTAGTCAAAGCTTCTATCGTGATAGTTCTAGATGGTACCCAGTTAGTTCTAGCTCCAGGTAATTGGGTTATTACCCATGTTCTATTACAATTGTTGGGTATATCGCCTATGTTAGTTCCGACTAGGTTATAGTTAGTTCCAGTGTATCCATTCATGTCTAATTTAGTTAGGCAAACAACTAACTGAAATAAGAAATGACATAGCTTATAAATTACCTAATTCCGGGGAAAAATGCGTTAGCCCAGTTCTCTGGAGCGTAGTTCATGACAATATTGTAGGCTCGTTCGTCCGCCAGTCTAATGTCCTCCACATAGTCATTCCATTCTGTTTTAGTATATTTATAACAAGCAGATTGCAAAAGGTTGCCCAAAATCCGAGTATCCTTTGCCTTGAAACCCAAATCCCGCAACTTTGTCCTGAAATTCTCAACTAGATGCAGAACACATCTAGAGTGTATAGCATCCGGAAAATATTCTCTGACTGCTTCTCTGATCCCCTTATCCACATCAAATATTATAACTAGCTTATGTGGAGGGTTGTATGGATCTGGCCTTTCATAGAGAATAGACCATAAACCTATAAATATTTATAGTTAGCATATTTGAAGTTAGAGTTAACAACGAATGAGTTAGAACTAGCATGAATTCTAGTAGAACTAACATGACCCGAACTAAACCTTGTAAGAACCAATTCCAGTTGACAGTATTTTCTTGATCGCAAATGCAATAGGCTAATGGAAATATCCCCTGGTTTCCATCGTATGCAACGGCGCTGAGGAGTATACCTTTGAAACGATCTTTCAGAAAGGTACCATCCAAAAATATAAGTGGTCTACAACCGTTCAAAAACCCATTTATGCAGGCGACATAACAGATGAATAGCTTTGAAAACCTCCCCTCATTTTGTTCAATATGAATGTAGCTACCTAGGTTTGTCTTCTTAACCCCTTCTACATACCTAGACCATTGAAGATTATATGTTAGGATCAACATAAATGAAATTAGTGTCTATATTATAGATAGTATCTTCTTTTACCATCGTAATTGATCGTAGGACTCATGGGCATCACCATATAGTTGCTCTTGTGCTCTTTCTTTACCCCACCATATCTTGCTATAATCGACCCTAAGCCCATACGAAGTTAGTAACTCCTTTTGTACGTTGATAGGTCGTAAATCCGGTCGAACCTTTAACGTGGGTAATACTTGGGTCGCAATGAATTGTCGTGACGCCCTAGATTGACCTGCATTATTGCCAAAATTCCCACAAGTGTGGTTGTCCACGAAGGTTTTGATTTCAAGTCTTTCTCATTTTATGTTGGAGAGGCAAATAACATCCACGGGCAATTTTGGGCTTCCTTGAACCGACAAAAGACTCGAACACGCTTCGGCTCATTCTTAGCAAACAAGTACTCGGATTTTTGGCCATGGAATAGTATAGTAAAGCCAATCTTAATTCCTTCGCACTCTCAAACCGTTGTCCCTCACCGGTTAAAGCAGTGTGCCACCAAGCAGGAATCCTCTCTGATCTGCTAATCATGTCATCAATCATCGGAACATTATCTCCAGAAGGATTATCATTGGGGATCCTATCTAAAACACATGTGGGCGTCGACAACGGCGGGCCACCCTCTATGCTTTTTGAGTTCATATTGCTGGTAGCGCTGCAAATTTAAAGAACATGAAAAAATGATCATAAACTATACAATAGAAACATCAACAAATAACACAAATAAGGAAAAGGCAAAAAAACATCAACTGCTTGTGTTATAACTGTCGTGGAATCCAATTGAACTAACAAGATTTTATTTAGAACTAACATGAAAACGTTTAGACCGAACATGAAGTCACTTAGAACTAACATGTTGGACCTAACACAGTTTGAACTAGATCTCATAGCAAATCGATTAGCACTAACAATAAGTCTATTGGAACTAACAACTAATAGATTATAGTTAACAATAAATCTATTAGAACCGACATGTTTAATACATTCACGTAGGACAAGAACTAGCATGAACCTCCTTCATACGATTACAGCTGAAACTAGAATTCACATCTTATAGAACTGTCATGAAATCGATTAGAGATAACATACACCCAAATCCGAGCTATAATCCAATGAACTATTATAGAACTGTCATGAAATCGATTAGAGATAACATACACCCAAATCCGAGCTATAATCCAATGAACTAACATTAACTGATATTACATGAATATTGGAGATAACATACACCCAAATCCGAGCTATAATCCAATGAACTAACATTAACTGATATTACATGAATATTGATCTTAGCATCAAAAAAATCCTTGCCCCTACATGTCTTGTCGAACTTGAACGGCGCTGTGGACTCTTGAAGAATCCTCTTTTTCCTTGAAAGCTTGCATGTGAACCTCCTTTAATCCTCTGTTATGGCAATGCTCCACCATAGATGACAGATCCCTCTCGTTCTCAATAGGAAATTTGAAGCTTCCATTCGTTTCATCTTTGAATGACAAACTTAATGATTCATATGGAAGATCTAACCTATCTGACACATCAAAATTTAGATCAAGAATGGTGGTTGAAGTGTTAATCTTCATGAATACTGCTCTATCACCCGAAGCTACGATGCAGGTGATGTCCTTTTCAGCCATTATGAAGTGGAGGGAAGAGTAATGGAGAGAATTTTGGTCTGAGAAAGAGTAATGAAAGAGTAATGGCGAACTAGATATTTATTGCTCATTATAGAGGGGAAAGGGGGGGATTTCCCTCCATTTCTTACAGTAGTTTGCATTTAATGGGATGTGACGAAGAGTGGCGTCTGGGAAGAAGGAGAATGACAAAGTCGGGTTTTTTTCAAAATACAATGCCTCTTTTGTATGTAGCTGACGTGGAGGGCCTTAGAAATATTAAATGTTGCTTTTTGGGGCTTATACACAAGGGAGAAAATACAATGGGCCTCGTCACATGAAGTTTCTGCTTTTGGGGCCCCGACACATTTTTCCCTTATTTTTTTTGGTCAATTACACTTAAATACCATATAATTTCCCATTATTTGCACTTAGCTCCCACAAGTTGTATTTTGGTGCAAAAAAATACCTTAAGTTTTCCAAATTTTGCATATTACTATCATCCATCCTTCAAACATAAAAATTTTCGCTTGAATGTTTCAATGTTATATATATATATATATATATATATATATATACACACACTCACTCACTAATTTTAGAGCTTTCTAACCATTACTATTTGTTAAATTTTTGGATAAATTTTGAAAATAGACCTATTTACAAAATTAATTACAAATTTCGACCTATTCTGAAGTTATTTGTGAAAATTGACCCAGTTTCAGCCATCGGGCTAAAACTAGATCGATTTTCACAAAAAAATCTCTGAAACTTCACAGAACTTGAAGTCCCGTGAAGTTTAGCAGGCAGCTAATTAAGCTGCGTAACTTCAAGAGACTTCAAGTCCTATAAAATTTTCTTCCCTTCGTGAAGCTTCATAAGTAAAATAAACTTTGCAAGACTTGAAGTCCCGTAAAGTTAGGCAGCTTAATTAAATGGCTGCTAAACTTTACGGGACTTTAACTCCCGTAAAATTTTAGAATTTTTTTTATCAAGACCAACCCAGTTTCAGTCATATGGTTGAAACTGGATCGGTTTTGACAAATAAGTTTCAAATTGGTCAAAATTTACAATTATTTATCAAAATGAGTCTATTTTTAAAATTTGCCGTAAATTTTTTATTAGAAATATCCTGACTCTATGTTAAAGTTATATTAAAATAAGTTGGAAAAAAATCAGCTAATTTAATAGCAAGCATAACATATATTATTAGTTAAAAAACTCTAAAATTAATGTCTAAGTATGATAGAAAAGCATGCAATTAAAAATTTTCCGTTTGCAGGATCAATAATAGTAAAACATGAAAATTTAGAGATTATATTTTTTTTTCATCAACATACAACTTGTAGTATTTAAATACTACAAGTAGAAAACTATGGTATTTAAGTGCAATTTAAATACTACAGTAGAAAACTATGCGTATTTAAGTGGCGATGTAACCCCCCCCCACCCCCCCCCCCCACCCCAAATCTTGCCTTAAATTCCCAACACAAAATTAACTACTTAGAAGCATAATGGTGTAACCATCTCAATTTTACCCTTTGATGACAAAAATAATTGGAGAATGATATCATGAGTTACATGAAACAGTACTAAATCAATGATGGTGTAGAAATATAATGAAAACATTTCAGGTGAAGCTAAGATCAAATTTCCGAATCTTCCTCATGCTACAGTTTAACACAAAAGAAGAAAGAAAAAAGATAATAATATTAATAATAATGAGGAAGCCTGTCGAAGAAAACAAAACCAATCGAATCAACAGAGTACATTACAACAAACTACATTGATAATCAACATTTCTAACCTTCAGCAGCTTATCCAATGATGCGAAGGAAACGAAACCACAACACTATCGTAATATAATCCCAATGAACACAGATACGAGAAGCGCTAATAAAAAAATATAATATCGACAATTTTAAGTTACCACTTATTCAACATAAATAACCGCTTTGGGAAAAGGAAAAGGAAAAGGAAAATAAATCATAAAATAGAAATTGATACTTCCAACTCCCAACCAATAGCAATTGTCATAGCACCAAGACCCTAATTCTGGTCTGAAAGTCATTTCGCAACTCCAATCAAATCAGCTTCAAAGTTCAGGGATAGATCCTGTGATGTGCAGTATTCATTTTATGAATACATTTCAGAATATCACGGCATCAAGCAGAGGCAGAAACAGGCAAAAGACCATTGTGCCTTAGTAAAGGCTCCGGTGATGGTTCACGTCCTCGGAATTCAACAAATACCTGGTATTCGTAACATCCAAATATTCATTAATCCAGTGTATATACAAGAATAATATCATCACTTTTTTTCTCCCTCATATAAGATCCCTAAGAAAAATTGTGGGTGAACTAACCTGAAGAGGTGCTTTTCCGCCTCCAAGAGCAAGAATTGTTTCTCTGAACCTGTGACCAGTTTCCTTGATGGCCTGAGGTGAATAAAATCGCTCATTAATTACTACACTTTAAAGCTCATAGTTTGTGCAATGAATAGCAAGTGCAAGTGTACTCGTTATATCTATATCACCTGATATATTTATCAATTATAATTCAATAAAAAATTATCTTAGGCTGACTGAATAAAATTCAAATCCAAACCAAGGTTACAGAAAGTGCTAGGTGCCTCGATAATGGACCAATGCCTAGAGCCTAGGCGCCTAGGCAATGAACCCAATGCCTAGAGCCTAGGTGCCTAGGCGGTTTCTTTTTTTTATTTTTTAATTACAAAAATTGATAGTGAATGTCAATGTTATAGAAAGCTTAGGCGCCGAACTGACGTCTAGGCGGATTTCTTTCTTCACTTAAGTACCAGTGGAAGAGATTTGCTAAAGGTCAGAGGAATAGGAGGTGTTCATAGTTGGAGGTCAAGACCAAAAGGTTGCAACGGAGGAAATCACGATCAAGGCCTAATGGGTGCAGTCCATGTTTCCCTAGGCGTTGCCAAAACCTAGGTGTGCAGCCTAGGTACCGCCTAGACGTTAGGCGCTAGACAGGTGGCCCAAGTACTGCCTAGGCCTAGGCGTATGCCTAGGAGGTCTAGGCAAAAGCTTTTAGATCATTGCTCCAAACAACTATAAAATAAATTGGTTAGGGTAGTGGTAAATCCCAGTGCTATCCCAGGTCATAAACTTAGCCTCCAAATTTGAGTATAATAGTAGTAAACAGGATATTCCGCTCACAAGAACAAAGAAATCATTAATACTGATTTCTGACATATACCGAGTAAAATCTCCTGCATGCACATTTTAGAATATACAAGTGAGTGTCACTTTTGTATACAGTTATGCTCTTATCTCTCACAAAAACAAGCATATCATTAACAACAATTTCCAAAAGATAAAGAGAGCAAATGTCATTTTGAACCATCTCGACTTGTTTCCCTCGTGTCTGTGCAATTGTGCATTTATCCTAGTCATAAAATCTTCACCATATCCTTGTGACGAAATCTTCACCACATCCTTAGTGAATTAGCAATAGATATATTCACACTTTCCTTGATTAATCTCGTCCCTAACTATAAATATGAGCCCTAATTATAAATACGAGATGCTAGTTACCATCTCTAAACAAAAGAGAAGATGGTTGTTTCTATGGCCTTCGAATCTCTTTTTGTAGCTCTTTTCTTGGCCCTTGCCATCTTCTCAAGCTTGTAAGCCTCACTCCCTCTTTCTCTCTATTTTTACATAGCATAAGTTTCCCATAACCCCCTAAAGTTTGGCCTCTGTTGAGATAACCCCCAAAACTTTATAAATGTCATTTAACCCTCCTGAACTTCGAGGCTTGTCACAAGACTCCTAAGACGTTTTCAAGGTTTTTCAATACATCCCCAAATTGCGTAATCCCCTATTTGTTAAACGTGCATCCCTAACCTTCCAACATTACTTTTGGAAAACACCAAACTTCCAACATTTTTTTCAGAAACCCAAAGTTTCAACATTATATTTAGGAAACCACCATGATCTTTTTATAGGCTTTCAGAAAACCCCCATTATGCCTTTAGGGGATTTGATGAGACAACTAAGGGGTTTCTGTGACAAGCAGATTTATACAGTTTAGGAGGGTTGTCACAAATAGGTAAAACTTTAGGCGAGTTATGTGAAATTCACCCTTATACATACTTTATTAATAATGTTGGTAATTTTCAGGAGTGCAAATAATTTTATGTGGAACCACTCCTCATTGTGATGGATACATTTGCCATAAAAATCGCATGAAAAGGCATGCTTATGATGGATACTGCAGTGGGGATGTGTTGTTGCGGCTATGGCTTGAACACTACTTCGCATGTGTGATGTTGTAATGGAACTCTTGTTTTACCTTACCTCATACTGAATAAACAAAGTGAAACGAGTCGTCGTGCGAGCACATTTGATCGCGGAATTATCAAAGGTGGGTTGAGAAGAAGACAATAAAAAATACAAGATAATTCAATTTTGGCGAAGGAAAAATACCAATCTCTAGATTATGAATATCAATTATTTTACAAATCTCTCTCACAATCTCTCTAGAATAGAGAACAATCCTCTCTGATCTCCTTAAAAATCTAATCTGATGTTTAGAAATCCTAAACAATCCCTATTTATGTCTAACGACGTGAATGGCAATCTCGTAAATAACCAAACCCAATAGAACTTGGAATACGCGTCAATCAGGAATCCCAAACCACCCAGGAACCCGATCCGGTCGACCGGCATGTGTGGCGCGGTCGACTGGCCAGAGAACTCATTTTAGACCCTACAGCGTGCACGTTTTCGATCGACCGATATCGGTCGGTCGGTCGACCGATATGGCCTTGTCGGTCGACCGGTGTCAACCATTCGGTCGACCGGCCAAAGCCTATTCTTATGTTTCCTGATTTCTTCTGTTTTGCTGTTTTTGACCTCTTTTGCCGCTACCAACGGCTCCACCCACGCCTCTATTCTCAAGCTACCATGAGAATCATTTATCCTCAAGCTCCCACGAGGATCACTAAGCTCCCGAAACAAGGAAGAAAATACACCCGTATCATGGCTACCCTCTTTAGGAACTTGAAGTCTCGTTCAAGTTAGAACATCAGCTGAGGGAACTCGCAAGTCCCTCCTTCCCTATTGAACCATCTGGCCTTACTAGGAACCTGACCTTGACGTCCGATCAGAAACGACTCATTTGTCCCGTAACTCGTCGTAGTCACCTTCCGCTCCAAAATGCAATCCTCTTTCAGCTGTTCTTCTCTATCAAACCACAAGTCTTCAACGTGCAACAATGGAGGCTCAAACAACTTCAAGTACTCTGCATTAATCACCGAATACATGCCTAAGTAAAGTGGAAAACCTAGCTTGAAGACATTTTAACCAATCTGATCAAGAATCCGAAACGGACCATATCGTATAGGCTTCAATTTCTTCCATTCTCCCTTTAGTCGCTAATTACTTAACTTCAGCCACACCATGTCACCTTTGTCAAAATTACAAGGAACTTGATGTTGATCATGTTTTGCCTTGTATTTTGCTTGTGACTTCTTCAACTGAGCTTCAACCGTAGCGTGAATCTGTGCAATCTTCTCTAGAAATCGTTGCACATGTTGTCTTTTACTCCCTTCTTTGCTATCAGCCGTAGCTTCACTAGAGAATACTAAGTCGAACGGACTTAGAGGTAAAAACCCATAACACGTCTCAAACGGTAACTTTCCCGAAGATCCATGAATAACCCCGTTGAAAGCAAACTAAATGTATTGTAAGCTCACATCCTAAGTCGCGGGATGTCTGGAATTATACCCCCGCAACATGTGAATCATAGTCCGGTTGACTATTTCTGTTTGCCCGTCTGTTTGTGGATGAATGAAAGGTCGTGCTCTTCTTCAATTTAGTGTCCGTCAAACTCCACAAAGAATCCTAAAAGTGCCCAAAAAACCGACTATCCCGATCTGAAATAATCAAACTCGGCAACCCAAAATGCTTCCACACATGTTCAAAGAACAATTGCGCTGCACCCGCTCCCGTCACGATCTTCTTACAAGGAATCAAGATCACCATCTTGCTGAACCGGTCCACCACAACGTACAAATAGTCATGCCCGCACTTGATCGTTGATAACCCTTCTAAGAAATCTATAGAGATGCTCTCCCACGGTCTAAAAGGCACTGGTAATGGTAGGTACAATCCCCGCTTCCTGTTAGAAGGTTTTGAAATACAACATAGCTTACACCCTCCAACGTACTTGGTAATATCATCTAGCATCTTTCGCCAAAAGACATAGCACCGTAGATTGAGAAACGTTTTCTGGATCCCAAAATGACCTTGCACACGCGATGTATACGTCTCTCTAATCCACTGCAACCTCTCACCATCCTCCGGAATGCAAAACGATGTTCCACGACCGGTCCACCACAACGTACAAATAGTCATGCCCGCACTTGATCGTTGATAACCCTTCTAAGAAATCTATAGAGATGCTCTCCCACGGTCTAAAAGGCACTGGTAATGGTAGGTACAATCCCCGCTTCCTGTTAGAAGGTTTTGAAATACAACATAGCTTACACCCTCCAACGTACTTGGTAATATCATCTAGCATCTTTCGCCAAAAGACATAGCACCGTAGATTGAGAAACGTTTTCTGGATCCCAAAATGACCTTGCACACGCGATGTATACGTCTCTCTAATCCACTGCAACCTCTCACCATCCTCCGGAATGCAAAACGATGTTCCACGATATAACAAATCATCCTCTCCAAGCTCGTACTCCCCCCTTCGACCAGCCTTCACTTGCTCGAACACACTACTAAAATCTTTACTGGATGTGTACATCTGCACATACTCCAAAAGAACCAAGGGCTGAATACGCGTCCCCACCAATAAAGCCCTCACTGACGGTCGAGATAACATATCGATCAACTTGTTAGTCGCCCCCTTCTTATACCTAATGATGATGTTGAATGTCATCAAATAGGACGTCCACTCCATATGTTGTGCCTGCTGCAACTTCGTCTAGACATATAGGAACTCTAATGGCTTGTGATCCGAGTGCACAACCACCTCCTTACCCAACAAATACACCCTCCAATGCTTGATCGCCTGATAAAGTGCAAAAAACTCATTGTCGTAGGTAGGATAGTTCTGAATAGCACCCGTGAACATCTCAGAATGGTACTCCACCGGCTTCCTATCCTGTATCAACACAACACCCATAGCATAACTAGAAGCGTCGACATTTACCTCTAAGATCCTCCGCAAATTAGACAACGCTAACACCTGTGCCTCCGAGATCTTCTTCAGCACCTGAAAAGCCTCCTCATGTGTCCTCCCCCACTCAAACTGAACATTCGCCTTCGTAAGGCCATGTAAAGGTGCCGCATAAGTCAAAAAATATCGAATGAACTTGTGCAAATACTGGCAAACCCCCGTGAAGCTTCTCACCTCCGTCACTGTCCTAGATGCCGGCCACTTCGTGATC